CCTCCCTAGGGTTAAAGCAGGCCCCAACTGTTGACAAATGCCATCTTCTCCTCCCTCTCTAGGCAGCAGGCAATGAAAACGGAGGGTCGCCTCTCCGCAAAGCCCAGAGCACGCTCCGCATTCACTCCGCCTCTGACCAGGTCCTCCAACTGGGGAGGACCCCTGAGTCCCGGGCGGTGTCCATGTGGTCCAAACCCTTTGCACACCCCCAGCCCCCTCTCCCTCCAGGCAAGGGGTTCCCATGGATCAGGGCAGGAGGGGTGGGGCTGCCAGGAACTGGTTCTTGATTAAATATAAACCCATCTGATAATTAGCAAACAGCCCACTTCTAAGACAAACAAATAGCAGATTTGGGCTCTGTCAGCCCCACCCTGGCCTCCTCCCTTCCCACCGGTGCAGCTCTGGGTTGGAAACGGGGGAGGCGCCAAGGGGGTGGGCTTCTCAAAGGCACCAGAGAGCATTCAAGTGGCCCTCCAGGCACGATACTGGGATCTTTATTTGCGGTCTTGTCATCTCCTACAAACCTCACCTCGGTCCAGATCTTGCAGACCAAGAAGCTGAGAGAGAGGCTGAGTGGCCCATCCTGGGCCAGGTAGGACTTCACACCTCTGCACTTAGGTCTGCCTAACTCCAAATCAGTGTTTCAATGCCCTCTAGCCGTCCCAGAAAGCAACGAGGGGGGTGTCCAAATGACCAGAGACTCCTGGGGTCAAATCCATTTGGGGCTGTATCAGCTTCGCTCTATAAACTCAGATCAGTTGCAGCCTTAATTTTGCTTTAAGGGGAAAAAAAAGTACTACCTGCTCAGCAGAGGCCAAATAACCAACTTTGAGGGCTGGCTGAAGTCTATTCTTTCAAAGTCCACACACAGCGCAAGGCGCTGTGAAGGACTAGGCCAAGTACTAGCATTTCTTGTGATGTCCCCTCAAGGCCTGGGACACAGATGCTGCCTACCTGTCAAAGGACAGGCAAAACTCTGGAGCCACCTCAACAGCCCCACCACAGAGCCATCCGATAGCCAAGAGGTAGACAGGAATGGGTGACTCAGGCAGGCCAGCTACTACTCTCCTCCAGTGACTCAGAGCCCTGTCAGCCCCTTTCCCCAATTTTATTTTTATTTACATTTATTTATTTATTGTTTTGGTACGTGCCCCTAGCGGGAACCGAACCTGGGACTCTCGGGTCCGCAGGCCGATGCTCCAACCACTGAGCCAAACTGGCCAGGGCCCTTTCCCCAGTTCTAAACGTCATTTGGAAGTCACACCCAGAGGTCCAGGAGGCTGAGGACAGCGAGGAGTCAATTTCGCCCAGGAGGGAGCTGGGGCAGGCAGCCCGCCTGGCTCTCTCAGCCCTCATTCAGGCCGCTCGGCACTCCGAGTCCTTGGAAAAGCCCTCCGTTTCCAGGAGCTGGGGATGGCAGGAGCTGAATGTCCCTCCCCACCCCCCACTCTCCTCTAGTTCAGGCCAAGAAAACTCTCCTCCCCTCGCAGGAGGCTCTCGGGACAGGAAGAACCCTGAAGGGCTCTGGCCCAATCTCCTTATTTTAGAGTTAGGGACACTGAGATCCTGAGATAGGGCATGTTGCTCAAGGTCATCAATTCAGAAGTAGGACCTAAGGTGTCTACCTTCAACTCAGCAGTTTCCTGATCTGGAATGTTCTCTGTGGAACGATCAAAGCAAACACCTGTGTTATCAGACAGACCTTGTTCTGACCTTGGCAAACGCTTACATTCCTCTGAGCATCAGTTTCTGGTAAAAATGGAGATAATCACACCTACCTCACAGTACACCGGGAGGCATTCGCATCAGTATTAAATGACCTCAGTGCACCTTTTTAGAATGAAGTTTACACACCTGAATATTACTTCTTCATTCATACCAACATTTCCTAACTACTAACTACAAGACAGGTGTTTTCACTAAAAAAGAATAGAGCCTTGGGGGTGTGTGTGGGGGGGGGGGCGGGGGGCAACTCCGAGTTTGGTGGAGTATACATTCCCTCACCAAACATAACTTTCTTCAAGGGAGGGAAAGCCTTAGATGTCTTTATGGTTTCCAAAACCCTTTCCAAAGTGTCGGTACTTAATCATGAATAAAATGCCCGAGTTGGACAGGGCTCTGGAGGCCATTAGTTCAAATCCCATTTTACAGATGGGGGATGGCGACCCAGAGAGGGAAAGGGACCCAACCTCATGGAACTCTCCCTCCCCAACCACGGCCCAAATATTCTCCTGGGCACTCGGTAGCTCTCAGGGCTCCTAAGGATTCCAAAGAGCTCTCACCGGTTCCTCAAGGGTCCTAGACCCCTGGGCTTCCTCCCCAACCCTACTTCTGTGCAGTCAAGGAGACCAGAAACATTTCTAAGCTAAAGTACACTGGTGTGTGGGGGACAATTTCCCAGAACCAATTGGGCCTGGTGCCACAGAGGTGGGTTGTGCTCCTGGGCAGCACCACCTGGGAGGTGGGGCTCAGACTCCCAAAACGAGGCTGCCTTTAATTGGCCAGGAAAGGAGCGCAGTAAGGCGGTGCAGGGGAACGCTCCCAGCTGGACAGGAAGAACTGGTTTAGGATGCAAGCCCCAGCCAAAGGGAGAAGAGGCTGGGTGCTCAGCCCCGGCTTCCTTCCCCAAACTTGTGGCACCTAGGGGAAGGGGGGCACCACCCGAGGGGAGGGCAGGCCTTTGGCTTAAACCTGAATTTGGGGAGGGGCCCCAACAGCACTATTGAAGGGGGCTACTGGACAGATTTTGATGGCCTAGATGCTCTCTGCTGCCCCAAAGTGGTACCCATGTTACTGTTCTCGGTTCCCTCATCTGTAAAGTGGGCATAGTACAACCCCCACAGGCTTTTTGTGGAGTGTTTTCCATATACCCAACCTGGCATGGGGAAAGCACCCAATAAATCATAACTGCTATTAGCAAAACTCTTCTTCTGGGCCTCATTTTCCCCACCTGCAAAAAAAGGGCCAAATGGATCATCTCTATGGTCTAATCCAACTGGGACGATGTCTGATTTTTCTGGCCACAACCATGGGAGGAAAGGGGGTGGAAGGGCCCAAAGGGGAAGCCCTCTGACCCAATTAGAGGCAGAAGGTCTGTGACATTCGCCAGGAAGGGGGGCACTAAGGTCAGGATGAAACAGAAGAACACCTCTCTCAGGAAGCAGCTGCTCGGGGCTGACCTCCCCCAGCTGATGGATCACCACCCGCAGGACTGACAGCCCTCCCCCAAACCACATCCTTTTGGGACACAGCTGTCTGCTCCTCACTCAAGGACTTGCAGGCTCAGCAGTCCCTGAGCCTAGACTCGCACGTGACTGCCCACGCATTGACCTCACAACCTCTGGGGTCTATCCTCTCCCATTGCCCAGACCAATAGAACCCAACATGGCATTCCTTTGGGTGCCTCCCTGCCTGCTGGGCTCCCACACATCCTTCAGGGCCTAGTAAGGACCACTGCACCAGGGAGCAGCAGGCTTGGGTTCGAGTCCTGGCCCAGCCACTAACTTTTTGGCAAGGTTGCCCTTAGTTTGGAAAGTCATCACCTTCTACCTCAGACTTCCTTGAGATTGGCTCCAAATCTTCAGACTCTAAATTAGCTTTGATATCTGAGGATGGGACACAGCAGCAGCCATTCAGAGAGGCATCGGACTACAAGTTAAGATGAGGGCAGGGAGAATCTGCTCAGCCCCTGGTAAGCTGTGTGACCTCTGGCAAGTGAGTTAGCCTTTCTAGCCTCAGGACCAGTTTAAGAACAGTGAACAGGGTTGTTGTCAGACTGAGGCGAGTTGCTAGAGCTAGTAGAGCAGCCATTAGAAAGCTATTAGAACACGGCCAGGCGCATCATACGCACTAAATGTGCTGGAGGGTTATTGCTCAGGGTCTTATTCATTCAACTGAAGCCTCCCAAGCAGAAACGACTTCCCGCTAAGTAAGCCCAGAGGAATAGGAACCCCATACAGGAACTGACAGCACGTACTCGCCCCCCACCCCCAAAGCTGGGCCTAAGGACAGAAAGGGGCACAGAGCCCAGGCTCTCCCAGCAATTTCTGCACCCCCAGCTTCCCAGAGGAGATTGCCGCCCTTCTCCCCAGCTGGCTGCTGGGATGAATGGAGCTTCAGGCGGCCCAGGGGCCAGTGAGCAGCGAGAAGGAAAGGCTTCGCCCAGCTCACGGAGGCCTCTCCCCAGCCCCCTTCACCTCACCCTCGCTCTCAAAGTGGGTGCTTCGATTTTCCAGTCTGCATTGAGCAAAAATAAACACTCTTCTTGCATAAAGTCCAGGGGGTCCGGGGGGTGTGGGCAGTGAAGTGCTGAGCCCCAGCCATCCCCACGGCCCGCCCTTGAAAGATCAGTCTCAACTTTGTAAAGACAGACCCCAGAAGGGCCCCGGTCACCTCCTGTCCCACTGCCCCGTACCCTTGTTGCAGATGGGGTCATTGAGACTCGGCAGGGGCAGGGCCTTGCCCTCCGTCAGAAGCCAGTGCAACGCTGCAGCCAGAAGTGAGGTCAGGGCTCAGTCCTCCACTCCCGAGTGTGTGAAACAAGGCCCCGCAGAACCCTCAACTCCTCCCCCTCCCGAGTACTCGCAGTCCCCCTCATCCCCAGGCACCTCGGATTCTGAGCTGCCTGCTCCCGGCGCCGAGGGGGTGAGGAGGAGGCTTCGGGGCTCTGAGCCTGTCCCCGTATCACCAGGGAAGGTGCGGGGGATGAGGGGGGAAGGTGACACCGGCTTAGTCACGTCCGAGCCTGGAGCCCGCGGCGAGCCGGAGGCCAAGGGGAGGCGGGAAGAGCAACAGGCTGGGGGCGCACGCAGAGCGGAGGAGCCACACCTCACCCCCACCCCCCGGGGCCTCCCTGTGACCTCGGAGCCAAGTTTCCAACAAAGTTTGCCCGGCCTCGGCATCTCCCTGGGGATGGCGCAGCCCCCGGATCACCCTCTATCCCAGGCTGCCAGGAACAAAGGAGGACTGGTCCGCGCCCCCGGGGATCTCCAAGCACCTACCGACTCTGCGGCGGCGGCGGGGGCGCCCACGAGGAGCAGCAGCAGTGCGAGCAGGCGGACGGGGGCCATGGTACCGCGGTCCGGAAAGGGCGCGCAGGCAGTGGCCGCGGCCCGCAGCCGGCTCTCCTTATAGGCGGTGGCCGGCCCCGCCCCGCCCCGCCCCCGGGCCCGCACCCCTGCCCTCCTCCCCCAGGAATTCCCCGAGAAAGACGGGCCTCTGGGGCGCTGCGCCCGCCTGGGGACATGGAAATCCCAACAGACTCGCCCTGTGCGCGTCAGCCGGGTCCCCATCTACCCCGAGTCATCGTCCTCCTGGAGCCCCAACCCCCTTTATTCATTTGATCCCCTGTTAGGCAGGCCCCCCAAGGACACTGCGTCTAATTCCATTTTACAGTGGGGGACACTGAGGCCCACGGACAGGAAGGACTTGTCCAGAGTCGTCAGTTTAGACCAGCGCTCTTCAAAACCAGGCGGAAGACTTTCCAAATGGGGCATGGACATCGGTAGTTTTAAGGGGTCAACCAACTTTTTCTGTGAAGGGCTAAGTATTTTAGTCTTTGCCGGCCATACGGCCTCTTGTCACTATTAACCTCTAGAGCTGTAGCTCAGAGGGAACCAATAAATACCTAAAAGAATGAGTGTGGCTGTGTTCTAATAAACACTAATTATGAAAACTGAAATTTGAATTTTACAAAAATTTCATGGGTCACTAAATAGCATTCTCCTTTTGATCCCCCCCCCCCCCCCCCATTATTTAAAAATGTAAAAATCCGCCCTGGCCGTTTTGGGTTTGGCTCAGCGTTTGGTTAGAGCGTCGGCCTGAGGTCCAGAGAGACCCGGGTTCGGTTCTGATAAGGGCGCGAACCTCGGTTGCAGTTTGTCCCTGGCCCTGGTTGGTCGTGCGGGTGGCAGCCACTGGATGTGTCCCTTTCAGATCAATGTTTCTCTCTCTCTCTCTCCCCCTCTCTCTCCCTCCCCCTCTATCTGAACAAAAAATGGAAAAATGTCCTCAGGTGAGGATGAAAAAATAAAAATGTAAAAATCATTCTTAGCAGTGAGTTGAACAAAAATAAACCATGGCCCGCCCTGGCCAGTTTGGCTCAGCGGTTAGAGCGTCGGCCTGCGGTCCGGAGAGACCCGGGTTCGGTTCCCGCTAAGGGCACGTACTTCGGTTGCAGTTTGTCCCCGGCCCTGGTTGGTCGTGCGGGTGGCAGCCACTCGATGTGTCCCTTCACGTCGATGTCTCTCTCTCTCTCCCTTCCTCTCTCTCCCTCCCACTCTATCTGTACAAAAAATGGGAAAATATCCTCGGGTGAGGATAAAAAAAAAAATAAATAAATAAAAATAAACCATGGACAGACTTCTTGGTCTTAAGGTGACTGACCTCTGTTGTAAGGGATTTGTATTCCCAGATTTTGAACTTCTAAAACGTTTGATGTCTCAGAAGATTGGTGTACAAATTTATCTCCATTCTCATCTGCTTCCACCTTTGTAAAAACAAGTCTGTCTCGTCCTTATCCTTGCTTGCATCCTCCTAAAAGCGCACGCTCCTGTGTGTGTGTGTGTGTGTGTGTGTGTGTGTGTGTGTGGTGAGTGGGGGTGTGGGGATGTGGGATGGTAAAAACCCTCTGGGGCTCCAAGTACAGGAACTGTTGGAATTATTAGGGGAAGCATCCTATGCTACTCAAAGTATCAAAGGTACCTGGCCTTATCTCTATTTTATATGGTAGAAAGATATGATATGTAATATATAATATAAAGATATATACACACATATATTATATAATATGTCTTTATAAGAATATATATATATATATTTATATATATATATATATCTTTCTAAGGCTGAACCAGGATATTTTGGCCTCTGTTGGATTCATATACTTTGAATTCATACACTTTGTGAAGAGTTGGGAGTGACTTGCCCTGTTTGTCCCATCCCTTAAATATTATCAAAGGATGAAAATCTTTTGAGACAGACAGCCTTGACAATAAACTAAGTTTCAAATGCTGATCAGATTCCCCCACCCCCACTCCCCTCCCACGGATTTAAAGCTAAGCATTTTTTTTTCCCCCAGCTACTCTCAACACCGTTCCTTAGGATTTGGAAATAAACTGAGAAGATGAATGAATTTCATGTCAGAATAAGAAATCCTTTTGCAAGTCAGATGGGTTTTGCAATCTTTGCTGTCCACAGAATTGAAGGAGGGCCTAATCTAGTTGTCAGTAGATAGATCATTAAAAATAATTTTTGATGACAGATCACTATGTGATTTGACTTTTCTGTCATCACATTGCTATAACAAAACACCTTTCATTCCCACCAGCTTCTCTAAGTGAAGAGGGTTTCTCAGCACTTATAGCCAGTGGTATGCTGGCAAATATTTAACAATAGGTGGTATATGGGGTGGTTTGGGGCTCAGGAAGTGGTCGTTTGTACCATTTGCCAATTTCTGTGGTGTAAATACTCCCACCATGGCTGATTTCAAGCTACCAATGTGATGTCACTTAACTTGGAGTTGGTTAGGAATGAGCAGTATTTCTACCACACAGATATAATAGGTGCAAATAATATCAAGAACATAGATAACAGTAAAATGTAGGTAAATAATTAGGCAGTGATGAGTTTTGAATACTTATTTCCTTTGTTGTTGTTGTTTCTAATTTTTTAAGCAGAGATGTGACACCTTTTTATTTATTTTTATTTTTTTAATCCTCACCCGAGGACACTTTTGCATTTATCTTCAGATAGAGCGGGAGGGAGAGAGGGGGAAGAGAGACAGAGAGAAACATCCACACGAGAGAGACACATCGAGTGGTTGCCACCCACACCACCCCAACCAGGGCAGGGACAAACTGCAGCCGAGGTACGTGCCCCTAGCAGGAACCGAAACCGGGTCTCTCTGGTCTGCAGGCTGACACTCTAACCGCTGAGACAAACCGGCCAGGGCCCCTTTGTCTCTTATGTAGTTGATTTAATTGTAAGTTTATATCATTTCATCTTTAGTGACAGTTATGTTTAACTACTACCCACAAAATCTCCCAAACTTGAACAAATACAAGCTGGCTTCAGCACACCACTCACTGCTCAACAGCTGTAAAAATGAGGAATACAATTATTGTTAAAATGATCTCATTCTAGCACAGGCAATATTCACCCAGGGATATATGAGCTAACTGGGAAGGAAAATTTACCCAATTTTACTTTTTCTGTTTAATGATTATTTAGCAAAGTTTGGGGACTGGTTTCATGAGTACATACATATGTCAAATTGTACACTTTAAATATTTAAATATTTTCTGTCAGCCCTATCTCAACAAAGGTATTAAAATTTTTGGTAGGACATTAAAAAATTGTAACATATTTACATTGTCTTGATTAACTGCACTCTGATGGTAATTATAACGATAGAAAAATTTAATACCCCATCTTATGGTCATAGAAAGTAAAATAATAATCCAATAGTCATATATATTTTTTAGGCAGAGTAATACGATAAAGTTATCAGTAGGCATTAAAAAATACATATGGTGAAATTTTGCAGTGGAGCACAGAGTGGAAATTTGAATTCAAGTAGAAAAAGGAATGATGTGAAATTTCTGTTAGAGAAGAGCTTGCCCCATGTATTTTATTATTTTTTTTAGTGAACAAGCTTTTAATACAGCTCAGGTAAGTAAAATACTGTACACTGTAAGAGATCTAGAAAACTAGAGCTTTGAGTCTTGTGGGTTTTTTTAATGTTTATTATTATTATTATTATTTTTTTTTTTTTTTAAATCCTCACCCGAGGACATTTTTCCAATTTTTGTACAGATAGAGTGGGAGGGAGAGAGGGAGAGAGAAACATCGATGTGAAAGGGACACATCGAGTGGCTGCCACCCGCACGACCAACCAGGGCCGAGGACAAACTGCAACCGAAGTACGTGCCCTTAGCGGGAACCAAACCTGGGTCTCTCCAGACCACAGGCCGACGCTCTAACCGCTGAGCCAAACCGGCCAGGGCTATTATTTATTTTTTTTAAGAGAAAGAGGAATGGAGAGGGAGAGATAGGAACAGCGATAAGAGAGAGAAGCATTAACATTGATCAGCTGCCTCCTGAACATCCCCTACTGGGGATCGAGCCCACAACCTGGGCCTTGGCCCTGCCTGGGAATTGAATCAGCAGCCTCTTGGTGCATAGGCCGATCCTCAACCACTGAGCCACACCAGCCGGGCTCAAGTCTTTTATGCAGAGCAGCAGCCCTTCAGGGGATGCCACGTTGATCTGCTTCGTGGACGCAAGCAGTGTGTCCAGCCTAGGGGTGGGGTGGGGTGCACCTGGGTCCTGTTGTCACTTGGGTATTCTTGAACTGAATAAAAGACCGCATAAGACCAAGAACTGGGAAAACAAAACAAAAAAAGACCAAGAACTGGGCCAACACGAAGGATTAAGTTGGAATGCCCCCCATCCCTTGGCACTAGATGTAGCCCCAGCCTTCAGCTTCTGGTTTTTGGTTCTTCCTGGGAACTGTGTTGGGTTCTTGAAGGTTAAACACAGTCCACGATAGCACCTTGCAGCTTGGCCTAATGGTAGTGACTTCTGTAGCTCTCCCGTCTACTGCGGTCTCATTTCACTGGGTACTCAGACAAGCCATTTAGATGATCTGTTTCACCATCCCTGCTGAGCTACCCCTCCCCGACATCTCACAGGTCAGTGGCTTGAAATGTTCTGGAAAATCAATCAGCATATTCGTTTCCATAAGGGACAACATAAGTCCCTTTGTCCCCCAGGTCTTCTTGAAGCTTCCTGAACTCATCTCTATCTCCTATCCAAATCAGCGTGACACGTGTTAGGTCAGGTTTGTGCTTGACAGTCTCTGGAAAAAGGGCTTGGAAAGTGATGTCATCCACAGTCTGGCCACACCCAGGCAAAGAAATGACTTGTCTTCACAGACTTTCTAGATCTCTGTCGTAACTTCAGTGTTCCCGAGCACATGCTGATACCCAGCTGCGTGAAGGACAGTGACACTGGGGTTGGAGTAGACCCCATAAAGCTCAGCTTCTGCTTCTCTTGAGCCCACTCTAGGACCATCAGTAAGGCCAAG